GTCTCATTAAAAGAAGCGAAGTAAACCGCCTGGCCCTGTCCAGCACCAGAAGCTTGGGCATGGGACCGGACGTTGGTGGTCGTCTGGTCCTGCATGTTGAGACCAACTGGGAGGTCAACAATCTGCTCAACACCGGCGGCACTAAGAACATCCTTCAAGCCGATACCAGACCATTCCAAAATCAATGGGGAAATTGCAGATCCAGCCGCAAGTAAGACCTCATGCTTCGTATATACATTGAAGTTGACCTTTCTGTGGGTGCCGAAGTTCAGTCCAGTAGCCTTAGCCCCGGATTCAGTCTTGTTGAGTAAGACCTTGCCAACTTGTTGACCTGTCAAGACTTTCAAGTTCGGACGTTCATGGTTCGGAAGAAGCCATTCACGTGCCGTGTCTGAGCGAATCTGGTCCTCATGCACAGCATTAGGGATCATGGAGACACCACAAGGATGACCACAATGGAAATCTTGCTGTGTCGGAACACCCCGCTCTGAAGCAGTGTTCATGAGGGCTTTCATAATAGGAGACCATGGCTTGCCATTGTCACGAGGGCCTGCCTGAACAGTGCCATTTGTTCCATGACAAGCAGGATCGTACGAGTGACCGGCAGCAATCTGAGCTTCGCTTGGCGGGCGAGACTTTTCCGCTTTCTTCATATATTCAAAGAGGCCATCCCAGTTCCAACCCTCATTGCCAAAGACCTTTTCCCAAGAATCGATCTGGACTTTGTCTGGACGAGTCCACGAACCACCGTTGACCAAGGTCGACCCACCGAGGCCGTTTCCAGATCTAATCAACTCTGTACGATTGTTGATCGCAAGGGGAACCGTTTGATAGGCTTGATCAACCTCGGTACCAAAGATGTCGCCATATTCATTCAGGTCCTCGACAATGCCCCCACAGTTGGACTCATAAAAGCCCTTTTCAATAACCAGAACCTCAATGTTGGGGTTCTCTGTGAGCTTGGTCGCAACTGTTAGACCGGTCAAGCCTCCCCCAGCAATGACATAATCAAAGGTCTTCTCAGCGACCTCCTTCGGGTCGGTAATGAGACTAGCTTGCACATCGAAATGTTTATCAAGTGAGTAGTTCTGGGCCACAGCCAGAGAGAAGAGAATGGGGCTGAAGACCGCAGACTTCATGTTGAATGGAACTGCATCTAAGAATGAAACGAAACAAGAAGCGAATGGATAAAAGAATGACCAAGTTGGATTTTCTCGTGCAATCCTTTTGGCTGCTTTACATGGAAAGTTGTCCTACGATCGCTATTTATGCAGAGGCCCAAAGATGCTCATTCCTGCTCATAGATCCCTTAGTATAGCCTCAACTATTGACCACGGGCATTACCCTCACATGATAGATTGCCATTCCTCCCTAAAACTCCTTGCGAACCCTGCCAAGTTAATACCCAGGCTTTTCGAGGGCGTAGAACACACTGAATGATTCCACTAGAGTAGAAGTAGATTTACCACCATCTAGCTCAAACACTAAACTGTAACTTAAAACACTAATCCAGGACAATGTCAAGCTAAAACAATTTACTCGTCTTGGCGCCAGTGGGTCGCGAGGCTTCAGCCCCAAGGGTCCATATCCTAAAACCTTGACCGCTACCTAGCAAACCACTTTGTGAGACGGGTTTGTATCATGTAGATACCTTTATAATAACCGTTTAGCCTAAATTTAAGAAGTATAGCAGAGGGTGCCACTAGCACCCGAGGTAAATGTCAGCAACAGAAGGTACCTCTATGATTATTCACGGTTGAGTCTTTGAGCGTAGCCTAACCGTTGCCAAATGATAAGGTACCGCTGATCATAATCTCCCCTTGTCTCTCGTGGGGCAAGCTTGTGAGTCATCACGCTTGTCTACGGGACATATTGTATATACACACTTTGGGTATGGTCTCTATGTTCTCACTATGTGAAGACGCGCGATATTAGGTATGGCATATCCACCATGTCTCTTGACAATCCGTTCATTCGACGGACAAAATAATCCCGGAGTCGCTGCAAAGGGGTCGTGTGGAACTAAAGCTCCGATTGTGTAGGCAGAACGATAGTGGGATTGGCAAACCTGGATCAATCGTCGCAATAAACGAGACTAGGGTTGGAAATCCCCATGTCGATCATCAGGTCTTCGTCCCACAAAGACTAAAGCGGTTTAAGTGGGACGCCAAGTCTCCATAGATCTTAAAAAAAAACCCTTATCTTATCTGATCAACGCCATCAGTCTTTATGCCTGTAGTATGTATTTGTGCCTAGCATATCTACTGTGTATGAGGGAGGATTCCCGGAGGATTAACGACCTAGGACAATATTATGTCTTACCATTCTATATATGCATCTTAATTTGCCATAACCTTGTGCCGCGAGACTCACTTTGCGATGCGAATCATGCGATCTCACCGAGCGAGGTAGTGTTTCTAGTTCGAGCAGCTTGTGTTACTCGCGCGGATACTCTCATTTAGAGTATGTATTACTATCGGTGGGACTTTCAATTATCGCTAGCATTGTAGGATATGCCATCCTGGGCAGAGCATTCATACTACAAGGGAGTGTGTGGCCCAGTAAAATGTACAGTCGCTGACAGAAAAGCATAGCCCTCGCTTTGAGGTGCCTTGTAAAGGTAACCGCAGCAATATGAGATACCTATTTGACTATCGGGAGTTGCTAGGCTTTGCGTAGTGAATATCATATAGTGGATTACTTGAAGATCCAGAGATAGAGAATCCAGATGAACCCCTGATGCAGTTGTAGCGGCTGAGAGTGGAGCTTCCAGTCCATATACTACTGTAAGCCTGATTTTGTCGATGGTCAACATATCACGCGGATGAAAGAAGACGATGCTGTCTCATTCCAAAATGCTACACCATCCAGAATATCTCTTGTATTTGTCTTTTCTCTAGCCCGTGTTGTACTTACGGCGTGTATAATATCTATCAACGTCCGTTTTTAAAAGAATGCCGACGCCTTCGAAGTTCAATATTATCCGATCTAAGCCAATCAGCAAAGGTTTGGATGCATTTCTGATAGCTTTGTATCTGTATATAAAGACCCAGGAATTCACAGCATTTATGTCTAGAACGCTACAGCTTTCGCGCCACCATTGCTTCGGTTATTGGGTTTCCTTCAGATAGTAAAACACAACATACTACAGGCTGACGTGTATCTTGTTGACTTGTTGTTATTCCTGGTGATGGATAAGAAGCAGGTAGCAATTTAGAAAAGGGGTTTCCAGCAACATTACCGGAAAATCGGATAACAAGATCAATCTGGGTTCTCAAAATAATACTTAAGCCCTTTATTGGGAAGCAGAGATGAAACAAATTGAAGACCAGCCAAACAGAGATGAAAATTAACGAAAGAATTGCCAGGAAAAGAGCCATTGATATTGGTCTTTATTAGCACCATTTCCGACAGCCGATAAGATCCACTCAGAAATAGAAGACTTTTTCTTTTAGCACTAGTAGTGCGGGTCCGGGCAAAATAAGGATTGATAGATTGAGAGCTCTTTCTTGATCTTTGGGGCAGTGGTGCATGGTCGTTCTCAGTTGGGTGTATCCTCTTAAGCTCTCGAATCCGTAGTAATAGTCTGTCCGATGAAAACACCCGTCACCCACGCCGAGAACTTCTCCTCGTCCTCTTTGATCAGCTTCGAAGTCTCCTCGTCCTCAAAGAATGCCCAGTTGGCGTCAAAATGCGCCTTATCCCGATACGTGAGTACCGCCACCGCGTCGTAGTCGAAGCCCGCCTGGTTACCCATTAAGACAGCTGCAGGAAAGTCAGGCGGCCCATCTCGTTTCACGTAGTGGCGCTCATGGGTCAGAGGGAAGGTGTCCCCGGTTAGGTTCTTCATGAGGGGGATGTGGACATTCTCGTAGTGGTCGCGGTATTGGTCCGGGGTGAGACCCTCTTTCCGACGACCAAACATAAGCAACTGGAAGCCAGACGTGGTGAGGGTTAACCCCGAGGCAAGCTTCATCTCGAAGAGCGATGTATAGATGTGCTAAGCTTGGAGTGCAAAGGATAGTAGTTATCGTGAGTGAGATGAGGGCCGTTGTTTTGTGAAAGAAATACTATTTTGCCTCGGTCCCCACCAGAACCTCCCTGTTATGTCAGCCGTGACCGCATTAACTGGCCAGTTAGCTATTTCAATAGGTAGGGAGCCTACGTGGGTATTCACTAGCCTTAAGATAGGAACAAAACGATGCTCCGAGTTGGGTGGGATCGTCACTATTAGGGCACTGTCCGCTCCGTATTTTAAGCTTGGCAGGGGGCCTTAAAAGTTCTTTGATGAACACTCAACAGTCTGGGACATCTTGGGCGCCATCACTCAAATCGTTGAAACCCTTTATCTTGGGTTTAAGTACTGGGTGATGTCCTTTTCTTTTTTTCGGATATTAATTATGTTTTCATCGGACTAGTAGTTACGACAGAATATGTACAAGGATAATCAAGGCACGACCCCATTATATTATATCGTAATCGGGTAGCATCAGTAAAGCATATTATACGATCAACCGACGACATGACATCTTCACGTACACCGAGTTTGTTTGATGTACAGGCTGTTTAAGAAATATTCTGTAGCTGCGGGCCAAGTAAATGAAGCCATCCATTCATCCATTCAACTACCAGACTATGGAATAACAGCGGCGGGAGATTTCTGGGTTATTAGGATCCTGTGCGCCTCCGCCGACCACCCAGGGAATGGCGGGCGAGCGAGATCTCTGATAGCTGGCAGACAACCTAAATAAACAAAAACATGTCAAAGCCCAACATTTTGGCAGGGCTCTATCACGCCTCGGACACCTCCCCCATCCACTGCGAGGATGAGCGGAAGCAACGCGATGAACCAGTCGCACGGCGTTGGCACAGTGGGGGTCACTAGGGACTATTCCCAGTAATGTACTAACGAACGGACAAGCTTGTTCAAAAACGCATAGTTTGGATAAAACCAACGTCAAGGTTTCGAGAAAGCGATGCGGGGACACCAACGCATTCCATTAAGCTGAGGTAATTCCAGAGCTGCTAATAGAGGCCAGAGGCGGTATCATACCGAAAGTCTGATTCCCTTGCGCCTCGAAATAGTGACCGTCCGCGATTCTCTGGGCGCCTTCACCGAACACGTTATACTGGCGACCATTATCTCCATACTGGTTGGCAGTACCGAGCTGCTCGGCCAGATCGGAGTCAACCAGTGATGGAGGCACTTTCGCCAGCTCCGCTCGAGCATCCTCCAACGGCTGGACCTGCCTCTGGATTTCCACCGGAAATATGTGGTTCCCCACAAGGGCTCCAAGGTCCTGCAAAATACCATCCATCAGCGTTTCGACGCGATGCTTGCCTTGCTTAAGAACAATGGCCCGGTACACAGAAGAGCTGTATTGGCCATCTGTCTTCGCCATCTTCTTGAAGATCTCCAGCAGCTTGTCAGCCTTCTCAGCACAGCGACACATGGCAGTCTTCAGCGCCTTAACTTCGTTGGCGGACATGGGTTTCTTCGTCGGCCCCTTTGCATCTCGAAGGATTTGTCTGACGAAAGGAAGTAGATTGTTCACTTCCCGAAAGGCTTTGGGTAGTCCACGGAGGTCTTTGATAGGGTTATACGCCTCGGCTATGCCTTCTGTGACCTCGATGAGGCCAGTAATCTGGCGAGAGATATCGGAATCTGACATGATGGACAGAGACTGGGCTGCGGGTCGACTGGACAACATTAGACTGGGCTTGCTGCAGTTATGCTCAATCCTAATCTTGGTGAAAAGCGTCGTCCTTTCTCGCCGTTGGGAGGGCGTGCCAGAAGAGAAAAAAGTAGAGTGCGGGACACGGAACTAGCAAGTGTTTATGTGATTTAGGACAGGATAATGCACACCACTGTCCTTCCCTCGGGTTTGCAGCTTTTCTGCCCAACGATCTTGTGGTTGTTGTGAGGGGGACTTTTATAGCCTCCGTGCTTGGCGCGTCGCTCATTTATGGCCCGTCAGCTCGGCACAGGCATCCCCAACTGGCGCTAAGGAGTGGAGTATTTAGTGCAATCGGAATGTTTAGAGAAGTCTCCGTAGCGCTTTCCACTCTTTGGAGTACTTCTACATTGAGTCTTACTCCACGTCCAAGGAGCCGCCGAGGGATGTACTGCCAATAGTAGGCTGCCGTTGTGATTGCTCGCTCCGTTCCCACTCTGGCGACGAGGCTATTGGCAGATTGCTGCTTGGTTTGCCCTAAGCTTTTGTACTACTGGTAACCAGTACATCAATTAAGCGCCCGTTTGCTTCGCACGGCCTTGAAACTTAATTAAAGGGAGCTGCTAATATATCGCAAATCCCCCCTGTTTGTTATTATTGGCTCATCCAGAACTCCCCAGCTATGATCCAGGAGTCCAGGACAAAATTTTGGAATTCCCGCCAGTGCCATCATTGTATACCGAGGCACCTCCTCTCGGCAAAGGTATGGGGCGAGATGCGAGTGCTAAGCGCCCGCCGATGTTGACGAGCTGCGAAGGATCATCTTTGAGACATTGAGTGTTCCCCAAAATATATGAGGCTGGCGCTTAGTTTGAGAGCGTACATCAACTGTTCTGCTTTCTAAATGGCGGATGGAAAGGCTTCTCCTCTTCAGGGAAATCAATCAACGTGTCCAGCTACGTTGTCGTCCGCCAGTATTGACAAGGTTTCCTGTTATTTAATATGCCCTGCTATCCTTGCTTTAATTTGGTAAATTATACCTGAGATTGTGATCCGGACGGCCAAAACGAGACACTATGACTTTAGGCGTAACCAAGACGAAACGATTCCTACACCGACTGCGGCTCCGGCCCAAAGGTCAGGATAGTACACCTAAATGCCACCCGAGAAAGACCTTCCCGGCCGGACTCAAATTGCTCTGCGGCCCAAATGACGGGACGATTGAGTATGTGCCCTTCGAGGTTAGAAAACACGGCTGATGTTTCTCTCAGTATTGTATTTGTCCACGGCCTGACCGGCGATCGCGATGCGACATGGACTGCCCCAGGCGAGGACGAACCTTGGCCCAAAACTCTCCTCCCGGCCAAACTTCCGACAGCCCGTATCCTCACATTTGGATATGACGCATATGTGGCAGACTGGCGAGGTGTAGTATCGCAATCTCTTATTGCCAACCACGCATGGAATCTGCTGGCAGCTCTTTCAACGTACCGAGACAACGACGGCACGGTAAGGCAGCCACCTCTACTGATGCTACAATGCATTGACACACGCAGAACGAACGACCGATTATCTTTGTCTGCCATAGCTTGGGCGGACTGGTTTGCGAGGATGTATGTATCGTCTGATTTGGGGGGACTGTGCTAATGCCCGCCCCAGGCCTTGTTCACGTCGAAACAACGACCAGAGCCGCATCTCCGCAGTGTTATTCAGTCCACTCGTGGTATTATCTTTCTCGGGACGCCGCACCACGGAGCGGGCCTTGCTAGATGGGCTGACTTTGTATCCCGATCAATTGGTCTCGTCAAGCAGACGAATCCCGACATCGTCAATGTCCTGAAACGCGATTCCGAGGTCCTTGCGCGGATTCAAGACGGCTTTCACACGATGGTGCGAAGTGTAGAATCACCGCCGATTAAGGTTACTTGCTTCTATGAGGAGCTACCCGTGCTGGGAGTTGGTTTAGTTAGTCATGGGAATTCGAGCCTTTCTTCAAATGCTGACATCTGGGAAATAGATCGTGCCACAAGATTCGGCCGTCCTGCCGGGGTATGTCCCTATTGGAATCCACAGTAATCATATGGATATGACCAAGTTTACTGGTGTCGACGACCCTGGTTTTGTCGCTCTCTGTGGAGAGCTGCGTCGGTGGATCAGAGACACAAATGCGACCAAACGATGCCGTGAGGGGGCCCCTGACAATTCATCGCTTGCTGGACAGGCCGGACTCGCCAGTCAGTATGGGGATAACAATCAGCAATACAACCAGTTCGCTGAAGGCACGCAGAACAATGTAGGCGGCAACCAGTATCAGGCGCAGGGGGATATGAATTTCGGCATGGTGCCGCCTAAATAGGTTGCAAAGAGCAAGGTGGCATATGATCTGACAAGATTTGTTCAGATGCTGTTGGACAAAGGAGCTGATACCAGTGCCCAGGATGGACAGGATAGATATGATCTCGAGTCGTTCTTTTAGATAGATACTCTTCTGGATATACTTATTCATATCTTTGTACTCGAATGAAGGATATCCTTCAGGAACCTACTAGAGATTCGAAGGTGTTAGCATCGTAAGTAATATATAACCAACGAACTAATATTAGTTCGTATGCTTCAGCATTTCATACCACATTGTAATGTACTCAAACCCCTCTCTACCTAGGAACCGATATTATGATCCGACCGAAGAACAATCCCATACGGCTTCAGCTCACCACTTTTCCATTTTCCCTAATATCCTCCTGGATGATTTCCTTGTTGACCCTAATGTCTGTAGGTTAGAAATGCAAATGTCCCTTCTGGATCGCTTCTTCCGAGGGATACCTGTTTAGTTCGCCATGCATTGGCTAATGAGATACTAGCTAAAAGGTCACGGGTGGGATTGCGTGTCGACCTTGTGCAGCGAGAGATAACTAACAGAAGAAGCTGTATGGCTATGGACTCATGATATGAATACCCTCATGGAATGTTTGACACCGTCTTAAAGTGTCAGCCAACATCACCATATTTCCACACAGTGGGTGATTTCAACCAATCAGAGCCTAGTAATCAATGAAAGATGGTGATAAATACTACTAGTACGCCGTAGGACTAGTAGGAGCTACCCAATGACGTGATGCAAATCTTATCTCCACCACGAGTATCGCCGACATTTCCACCACTTGTACCCCGCAAGCAACATTTACCGCACGAGTTACTTTCCCTACCACTGTTGGATTTCGCTCGGTAGAACCAGAGAAGTTTGTTTTAAGGTATGTCATGTTACCAGCATGTCGAGGACGGTAACCCTGTTCGACGGGACTAAGATCTGGCGACCCCCGCAGAACGTTGTTATCTCCCGAGTATGCCTTTGATCGCGCAGAACCCCCTGCCAAGGGCCCTTCTAGGCCTTATGACATTCGGCCCTGATGAGTCCAAGGGCGCTCGGATCACGTCGCTCGAAGAATTCAACAAGTGTCTGGACTATTTTCAACAGCAGGGATTCGATGAAATCGACACTGCTAGGATTTACGTCGGTGGAGCGCAGGAGGCCTTTACAGCTCAGGCTAAATGGAAAGAGCGTGGATTAACTCTGGCAACGAAATGGTATCCTCACAACCCGGGCGAACACAAACCCCATGTGCTCCGAGAGAACCTCGAGCTTTCTTTGAAGGAGCTGGGAACGAACCAGGTCGATATATTCTATCTTCATGCTCCTGATAGATCGGTTCCTTTTGCTGAGACTCTTGAGGAAGTCAACAAGCTACACAAAGAGGGAAAATTTATTCAACTAGGTCTGAGTAATTACACGGCATTTGAGGTCGCAGAAATTGTTACTCTCTGTGCCGAGAGGGGCTGGGTGCGACCGACGATATATCAAGCTATGTATAACGCCATAAGTGAGTTGATCTCATACCGATTTTCCCTCGCTTTGAATGGTACTGACCAGTGTTACCCTAGCCCGTTCGATTGAGACCGAGCTAATCCCCGCCTGCAAGCGTTATGGTATCGATATCGTAGTCTATAACCCCCTTGCTGGTGGTATCTTATCGGGTAAGTATAAGACAAAAGACATCCCTGGCGAGGGAAGATACAGCGACAAATCCACCACTGGCGTACCGTACCGCAAACGCTATTTCAGGGATGCAACATTCGATGCGCTGCGAGTCATCGAGCCTGTGGTCGAGAAGCATGGCCTGACACTCCCCGAGACTGCGATTCGCTGGATTCACCATCACTCGGCTCTTAATATGAAAGACAATGGCCGCGACGGAATTATCGTTGGCGTGAGCAGCTTCGCGCAGCTGGAAAGTAACCTCAAAGACATCCAGAAAGGTCCTCTACCTGAGGAAGTTGTTGAAGCGTTGGATAAGGCGTGGTTAATCGCTAAGCCCACTGCTCCGGACTATTGGCACCTCGATCTGAAATACACATATAACACCCAGCAGGCCCTGTTTGGCCCGAAGTCAACGGCGTAGAGCCCCCTGTTCATAGCTCTTTCTCACGTGCTGGATCGGTGTTTTAGTGGCGTGCCTTAGCCGTTTATTTTTGGCGCGCAGTATAGACCACTAGTTCTAGAACGCAATGGAGCTGAAATCGATCCAATAAATACCGTCGCAAAGACTTTCCAGCCGCCAAGCCAACCTCCATGCCAGGTACTAGCTCTACAGTATGGTTCTAGGTTGTAGTAGACAGCTGAACCAGGCCCCTGCAACATGTAAAATGATACTTACATACTAGGCTTCTACGACCGGGAAACATGGCGGCGGTCCTGGAGATCACGAGGTGATTACATATCTCCGCATGCAAGAGTGGCGGCCATATTGCGGACAGTAGAGGTTGTATACTCAACCAAACGAATGAAGAAAGAAATACCAACGGCAATAATATGTCATTGGTCCAGTCCCTTACATTCCAATAAGTTCCAGATCTGTGAAATGTGACTTCTTTTCCTGCCACCAAGAAGTAGTTATCGCTTCCACCTGAACTGCGTGCATGGTCCTTGCGCAAAATGCTCGGCTACTACCTCACTTTTCTCTTGAATTCCAACAAATTTCGCAGAGACTCAGGTTTTGCCAATGGCTTGGTCCGAATTTGCCTGCCTGATTGTCCTCGCATACTGCATGGCCTGGAAAGCACATTCCTGTCTCCCCCTTGCGGGTGGTAGTGAACAACCTCTCGGTTCGAACTGATGCAAGGAAGGTGGTTGAAGTAACGTGGGGAATGTGACAATCTACAAATGTCGAACCCCCATCTGCAGCTCTTCCAGACAAGTAACTGTTGGCAACGATCATATGCAACATGCTAACAACAGGAAGAACTGCAAGGCATCGCACGCTGTGACACTTTTGCCGAGGTCGCTGTCACTCTGATGATTGTGAAGAGCCTGGCCAATTGAATGGAGGATATGAAACAATATCGTAAACCCAGGCTAGCCTGGATGCTACAATGTGCTTTTCGGGACTTCCATTTCTCTCCACCCACAAAACGTGCTTTTTCAAAAATGCCGCAGTGGCACCTTAGCATAGGCTAGTGATGCCTGAGCCCTAAAGACATGCTCAGTAGTATCCAGTAGCGTCTGGACCCTACCCAAGAGATTCCAGGCTTCCACAATTGCGGGAGGGCCGGGTAGTTGAAGCTGCATCGCTTTCCAACGTTTAATCATCGAATTTTGAAGTCTCATGATACCTTGTGGGACTGGTGGCGGAAAGCGTTGGTGGCATTTGCCCACAAGTGATGCCCCTTGAGCTAGATTAAAGTTACTATCACTTATACTGAAGGACGAAAGGCTATAAAAGAAACACCATGGCCGTGTACGAAATTGGACAAGACAACATCGGTGCCGCCGGGATATCAAGCCTTTTGCTGATAGGACTAAAATGCCGGTTGTTATTGCCCGCTCACTGCAAAAGGATGCCATCGCCTCAGCGGAATCTGGCGCCTCAACAACATCGGACGTTGAGAAGGACCCCATCACCTTGACTATTAAGCCTACTGTTGCCTCTGATCATTCAACGCTTGGCGATACCTCTGACGACCGCCGCTTTTGGTTCCAGCGGTCGAAAAGCTATGACCCAAATGCCATCGCAACCCAGCCGTCAGTGTTCGACGATCCTGAACTTATCTCTGAATATCGACCCCGAGCAGAATGGGAGAACGTGCACCGCTTTGACCCATCAGCAAGATGGACCTGGGGTGAAGAGAATGTAAGTTGGATTCCAGTTTCATCAGGAAGAGAGTACAAGTGTAGTCTGACCCTCATGTAGAAAGCTGTCAGAAGGCTCGACATGCGAATCATGGTACTGGCATGCATGATGATGACAGCATTGGAGCTTGATCGCTCGAATATCCGTATGTGCCTTACCCGTTCCAAATAAGACTAGCATCATCTAAAGAAACGCATTCACACAGAGCAAGCCAACGCCGATAACTTCCTTTCTGATCTCGGATTATCTAGAAACGGTTAGCATTCTCTAGCTCACAGATACGATCAGCCTAAACTGACCGATTGATTTAAATGATTCAGACTATAACCTCGGAAATACGATATTCAAACTATTCTATCTCTTAAGCGAGATTCCTGCACAGCTTATTGGCAAATATATTGGCGTCGATAGGTGGATTCCCATACAAATGACTTCGTGGTCATTGGTGGCTCTCTGTCAGTTCTGGCTGCGCGACAAGACTTCTTTCCTGGTTTGTCGTGCCTTGATTGGTATATTCTCAGGAGGGTTTACGCCTACTGTAGGTGACTCTGGTTGCTTGGATATTCTTAGATACTTACTTACAGATGCAGATGATCCTTTATCTCTCTTACTTTTATAAGCATCACGAGCTTTCTATTCGCCTGGGGTTCTGGTATTCTGCACAGGCAGTCGCGGATGTTCTAGCAGGTCTTCTAGCGTATGGAATACTGCATCTACGTGGCTATGCTGGCCAGGCTGGTTGGCGTTGGCTTTTCTTAATCGAGGTTAGTGCATTCTCCTTTATAGAAATTCTTCTCAAAGATTGACTGATCTGCAGGCTCCTTCACTTTATTGCTCGCCATTCTATCTTTTCTTTTCCTACCACCGTCTGTGACGCAGACGGCCAGTTGGGCACGGGGCAAGAAAGGCTGGTTTACGGAGCGGTAATACGTGCCCCGTGTTTGGACCTCGCGCCTGTGCAAGGGTGACACTAATTGGATATGTCTGACAGGGAAGAAGTAATTCTGGTCAATCGAATTATTCGCGAGGACCCAAGCAAGGGCTCTATGGGAAACAACGAACCCTTAACAGCCAAGCTTGTGTGGCAGAGTTTCAAAGATTACGACCTGTGGCCACTCTACATGATTGGTCTTATATTCTTGGTGCCATACAGTAAGTATACCGCTCTCTTTGGCGGTTGTGCCCTTGCCATACAGTGTGGAACCCCACTAATCTAAACTGTTTGAACAGCAACGATTTCCCAATACTTTACGCTATTAATGACTGATTTCGGGTTCGGGGAGTTCAATGTCATCCTGCTCGCCATTCCATGCAGTGTAAGTGGGCCAAACCCTCTGCCACTACCGAGCTACCTGGCGATTCGCTGACCAATGAACAGGTCATAGGAATTGTGACTAGGATCATTCTCACCTACGCCGCTGAGATCCTCGGATCCCTTGCATGGATGGGAGCTGTGGCCCAAGCCTGGACCCTCCCAATGCTTATCTATATGAATGTAGTCGATTTCAGTCAGACCAAGAGATGGGTTGCGTGGACGGTCCTCACCTTGATTCTTTCGTTCCCTAGTCGTAAGTTCAGTAGTTCCACCAGGACCGTTGCCATCAGACCAAAACTAACAGCTATGTGTTCCTAGCCCATGCACTCCAGGCGGGATGGAACTCTCGCAACTCCAATAGTGTGCGGTCCCGGGCACTATCAGCGGCTATGTATAACATGTGCACGCAGCTATCCGGGATAATCGCGTCGAATGTCTACCAAGATTGTGAGTGTGACGAGTCCGAAGCCATTCACCAGGGATATGGCGTTCGAATTCCTTGGCTAATTTAGGCAACCATTCCAGGGGACGCTCCTCGCTATGTGCAGGGCAACCGAGTGCTTCTCGCTCTGGTGTGCACCAACATCACTGTGTACGCCATGACCAAGATCTACTATATACTGCGTAACCGTCACCGAGATCGGAAGTGGACGGGAATGACGGAGGAACGGAGAATTGACTACATCGCAACCACGCAGGAGACTGGGAATAAGCGATTGGATTTTCGGTTTGCGCATTAACTACTAGTTCAGTAACTAACTAACTAGTTAACGAAGACGAATGCTTGACTAATAGGAAACGTAATAGATGCTTGGCCTTGGAGACCAGAATGAATAATGCATGATTGTTTTATGCTCGGTCAGTTCACCGATTCAGGCCACTGACGCAGATTAGTCACAGCCGCCAAGAACGCCTGGCCAAATATAGAAAGGGATCAGGCGTCCCCACCGGGAATCACGTGTGGCTGTCCCGCCACGACCCCAAGGGGGCTTAGCGCGCAACCCCCGTTCCTGGAATCCTCAAATCATTCGCTGCAGACGGCCAAAAGGCTCACGTACTACATTTGAGTTGACCTTCAATTTGTCCTGTCCTTTTGCATTTCCCTTATATCTCAACTCCTCCCCCCTTACATGGTGTCATTCCGCCTCCTGCACCGTTAGTCCCAAAACTAAGAACCTTTCATTTTTTCCCCCTCCTCGCCCGTCATTCGAATTACCATATAGAAACTTAACCCGAACACTTGGCGCAAACGTGGCCGCAGCAAGCAAACGATCCCCTGGCGGTTTCGTTATTTATGCGCTGCAGGTCCCCCCGACCAAAATCTCCTCCTAATCTACTCTTTCTCGAGAAAGTGCTAGATGCTGATTCCGATCCCTATGCTCTGGTTTCCCTCCAATTCTCTCGTTTTTGCATAAATTCTATGGAGGGTATTGCGTTCGACTCGGCATTCCCCTCCTTACTCGATCCGTCGTCGACATAAAGCAACGCCAACCTCCAAGTTGATTGAACAACAACAACAACAACCCCCTTACCTTTGTCTTTTCCGGTTGGATCTCCTGCGCACGGGATCCAGTGGTTGAGTGAAGGTTTTTACTCTTTTCCTATTTTCTGTGTAGTACGGAAGATTGAGACATGGTGGCTTCAGATAGTTCGCACTTGTTGGGGCAGGAGGAGGTCAGGGACACCGAGCCGGTTCTCGACGACCCCGATTCCGATGAGGAAATGACCACGAATCGACCCCCCATCCACCGGTCCGTTACGGACAGCCGCTCGCAACAACCGCTACTTAAAGATGAGCACCGGCGATCATCAAATGCCAGCTTCGGTAATGGTGCTGCTTCGGAAGGCAGGCCTATGCTGCATCACCATACACGAAGGCCGACGGTCAGGAGTAGTGGTACGGAACATAACGCAGAGCAGGATACTCGGCGAAAATACCTGATTGCATCCGGTTTTCTCCTACTGAGTTTGGCAAGTTTCGTGATACAGACCGAGACTGCCGTATATATCGCGGGTGAACTGGGCTGGGATAAGCCCTACTGCATGCTGTAGGTTCTCCTGCTCAGATCTCCACATCTCATTGTTCAATTCCTGACGTCTGCGTGGCTGACTCACAGTTATCTTACACACGGTTCGTGGTCCCTTCTCTGGCCAGTCCAACTCCTTATTCTACGGATACAGAAGAGGAAACTCTCCTGGGACGCATTCTGGCGACGTCATGTCTTCCTCCTCCGAACTACCGCGCAGATGGTCGAGTCTCAAGATATGCACGTAGCCTCCCGCCGTTCCCCGATTCCGTACATGCTCAAGACCACAGCCTTCGTGACAATGGCCCTCACCGTTGCTGGCGGTTCGTGGTACTTGGCTGTCAATATGACGACCGCGAGCGACTTGACCGCCATCTACAATTGCTCCGCCTTCTTTGCTTATGCGTTCTCCATCCCGCTCCTCAAAGACAAACTTCGCTTCGATAAGGTATTTGCCGTAATTGTGGCCATTGTGGGTGTTCTCGTGGTGGCATATGGAGATAGAGACGAAGACAAGCATGCAGATGGCACCCCGGGTAAAGGAGAAGGTCAAGTAAACAATAGGCTCTTGGGCAATCTTATCATCGGTATCGGTAGTATACTCTACGGTCTGTACGAGGTACTATATAAGAAGTACGCCTGCCCCCCGGAAGGCACCAGTCCCGGACGCAGCATGATCTTCGCAAACACTTTCGGCAGTCTGATCGGATGCTTTACTCTATTCGTGCTCTGGATCCCCCTACCTGTCCTCCACATCCTAGGCTGGGAAACCTTCCGTTGGCCCACGGGAGAAACCGCCTGGATGCTCCTCATCTCCGTCTGTGCCAATGCCAGTAAGTCCCCATATATAATGAAACCCACCACCCGAGTAAACCCCCCAAGTAGAAACCAACTCCAACCCCAACCCACAAAGAGAATACCAAGAAACCATATATTCCACAAAAACAAGAACTGACCATGCATTCACTCCACCTAAACAGCCTTCTCGGGATCCTTCCTAGTCCTTATCTCCCTGACCTCCCCGGTCCTCTCCTCTGTCGCCTCTCTCCTCACCATCTTCCTCGTCGCCATCGTCGACTGGTTCCGAACAGGCCAACCCCTCTCCAAATCCTCCATCATCGGTGGTATCCTCATCATCGCAGCCTTCCTTCTCCTAAGCTGGAGTACCTACCGCGAAATGAACGAGGAGAGGAAAAAGAGTATCGAAAACGAACAAGTCGAATCCGACAGTGACGACTAGATTCAGTCGATGTCTCATTAATTAACCGGAGACATCCGGTTATGTTGCTCGTTCCTTATCATTTCGGTTTTCTTTTGAAAAGCCCCGGGTCTGTTTATACCTTACCTTACCTTCCTTTCTTCCTTTCTTTATATGTTTATTACCATTCGTTGCTTGCGTTATATTATAGAATTGGTCACTGCCTTTTTTATTTCTGTATTACATGGCGGTGTTGATTAGAGTGTTTTGAGGTTTCCCCTTTTGGTTTTTTTTTTTTTTTTTTTTTTTTTTTGTACTTTGTCAATGTACATTTTCACTTTCATTCTTTGTCTTTTGTACTTTTGTTTCCTTTCTGGTTGGTTATGGGATAAAGTGCTGTGTTCGGGGTATAGGAGTAGGGGAGTTTTGAAACTTCTCTCCCTTACGAGGGAGTGCAAACTACGCAATATACATACTACTTCTATACATTCGACGATTGGGTGCGGGTGCAAAGGCTCGGCAGGGTCGATCAAATTGGCTTGGTTTCTCTATACTAGGTACAAGAACAGGAAATGTAGGGCGCAGTGCACGCTGTCCTTAGATCCCTATATGACATGAACATCAAGGGCGATCTCCCAGAGATAAGAGGATGCTGTACATGGGCAGTAAGGAAGGTGTTTAAGTAGATTAGGAAAATGGGGGGGGTGAAGAGGCAAACAACGGTTGTACGTTTATCTGGGTCCAAGCTTCTCCAGGGCACGAGCACCCTGTTCTTGCCATTCTTGCTTGCTGACCCACATATCCTCCTTATCGGCGATCTGAGAGACAGTTAGATGACCAGAGTTTCAAGCTGTATATAAGTGTGAAAAGGGCTCAAGCTCTTACCAGGTTAGCAAGGACAGCGCCACCCAGGAAGACCATGTGTCTCCGTCTTGGCGGATCCTCAATCCGCACCTTGAATTTCTAGACTAGAGTTAGCGTATATCTCCGTAAAGAATGCTATTAGACATACGTTCAACCTCTCCGGGTCTCCGTGCAATACACGTGTGAGCCACAACTGCTTCAGCTCCTTCTCCAGTCGTGATGGCAGACCAGGGTACATGCTGCTTCCTCCACTGAGCACAATAGCCTTGTACAAGCTAGAGCGAACATCCACATCGGCGCCCTGGATGGTGTTGAAGAGCATTTCGGCGATGCCGGGCTGATCCACGTCCACCAGGTGCGGCTGGAAGAGACACTCGGGGGCCTCGAAACGCTCACTTCCAACACGGATGACCCGACCGTCGGGGAGAGTGTAGGACTCGACAAGAACAGTTGTATCCTCCGAAAGCTTCTTGTCCAACTCTAAATCATAAGAAACGTAGCAAAGCTTCTCCTTAATCTGGCGCACGGTCTCGAAGTCGGCTGTACGGTTCAGGGCATAACCGCGGCGAAGGAGGAGGGCGATCATGTTGCGGGTGACATCACGGCCCGCGACATCCAATCGACGGATATGGTGATTAAGAACAGTAGATTCGTATACCGGGATAATGTGCGTGACACCATCACCGGAGTCGACAACCACACCGCTGCTGAGACCTAGTAGACCATATGAGCTTTCTTTACGCTCCCAAGTCAAGGGGAATGCTAGCAACATACCCTGGGCGTATAGTGCAAGCACAGCTTGAATAGCGACATATACACCACCGAAGTTGTAGCCTTCCAGCATAACCTCAGCCATCTTCTCGCGGTTCTTTAAGGGATTCATGGGGGGTTCGGTAAGAAGGATTTTGCGACCGGTGGGATCAATGCCCAACTTCTCATAAAAGGTATAGTTCCATAGATGTTGCATATCATCCCAGTTTTTCACTATTCCATTCTCCATCTATCCATTGGGGGCGAATCAGCAACTTGGAGGCGCACAAGCAGAGAGCGACAACGAGCCGCAGGGAGGGGACGTACGGGATAGCTGATCTGAAGCATTGATCTGGCAGCGGCAGCTTCATCTCCGCACATAATATCCTTGACAACAATGTCGCCAGCCTGTTCCTCAGTTCGCAGTATGGGCCGCCCCACTATTGAGGGGAACTGGTGCTCGGGGAAGTTCTAATGAAAAGCAACCAAGTAAACAAATAGCCCTTCGAATATTGTATAGATCGTGCCAGCAGAAGACATACCTGCGCAGCATATCCGACCTTGAGGAAACCGGTTCCTCCGTCGAGCACTGAAGGTACGGGTTAGTTGAAGGGACGGGAGCACCAGGCAGGAGCTGTCAGGAGCGGAGGATAAAGCTTACCAATGGGCATGTCCGCCATGGTGTTGGATGCGAATTACAAGAATAAAAGCTTAAACAATTCCAAAGTGACAAACAAATGCAATCATGAGGATGTGGTCAGGGGTGGGGGGAAAACCTGGGGGAGTTGATAGAGAATATGAGGGGAAGGAGAAAGAGCGACGGTATTGGGACTGCGTGGCTGACGGACTGGCGGTGCAGTCAAGTCAGTCGTCGTCACTGTTGCCCGTCCATGGAATGCCTGGGTGCCTGAACGCCCGATATCTGGGGACGGTCAACTCCTCCGAGCTCACCTCCCCTCAGGACATACTAGTAGTACTTCGAAACCACTATCCACCACGATCGGAAACTGGGTATAACAGACTGTTCCGCAGGACCAAATAAGCAAAATGTTTCCTCTTTGTTGTGGACTAAGGGCCACCTCGGCTGCCAACATCCAGCATTAGCCGTGCCAGGATCCTCACAATGATGATTGATGGAAGCCGGAATTCCATGTATAACCGCCTAACATAGTATACGATGGACGTCTATAATTATGGCCGGTCAGTCAGACCATTCTCACGGTAAATGACTAGACTACCCTGTCGCAGTTGTCCGCCCGGTATCGGGACCGCCCGGTTATCGATTATCGTTACCAACAACAACAACATCTACGCCCTTCTCGTAGCTCATAATCTCTCGTATCCTTCACACCCTGTACCTATCTACTTGACCACACGCATCCCTAACTGTAGAGCCAACTGTATCATCAAACATGACTCGCATCGGCTGGGTATGTTCAACCCAAGAACAAATAAACAACAACATTACTGACCTATACAAACAGTATGGCCTAGGCTCCATGGGCCTAGCCATGGCCACCAATCTCCAAAGGCACCTAGCGACCAAAAACGCCATGAATCTAATCTACTCGAACCGGACAATGGCACGCGGTGACCCTCTCAAAACCCTCGGTGCCACCCCAGAGACCAGCTTCGCCAAACTAGTCGCTCAATGCGGGATCATCTTCACCATGGTGCGTACAACTAAAATAATCGCATTCCATAAAGCTAACACGAAAAAGGTCTCCAACGACGCAGTCCTCCAACAACTAATCACATCCGCCATTGGATCCGGACACTCTCTCCGCGATAAGATCTTCGTAGACTGCTCGACCGTCCACCCCGAAACGGTGGGTCTAACTGTCTCCAAACTGAGAGAACAGCAAGCGTCTTTCCTGGCGGCACCTGTGTTTGGCGGCAATCCAATCGCAGTGGATGGAAAGCTCGTCTTTGCCATTGCCGGGCCGAAGAAGGCCTCGGAGGTGGTCAAGCCGTTGATTCAGGGTGTTATGGGTCGCAAGGTTATTGATTGTGGTGAGGATGCGACTAAGTCTTCGCTTTTGAAAATTGCTGGGTATGAGCTACCTTCTAATCCGTTTTTCCCCCCTTCTCTTTTACGCGCTAAGGGAGCAATGCTGATCATTATCAGTAATATCGTCACCGTAAATATGATGGAAGCTGTCGGAGAAGCCCAAGTTTTCGCCGAGCGTACTGGATTAGGCACTGGTCCGATGGAAGAGCTCATCGGGGAAGCTTTTGGCGCCGTGGCTGGTGGATATTCGAAGAGGTGGCGTAGTTTGGAATCCCTGCTGATGTTTATACATCGCTGATGAGTTACAGATTGACGACCGGTGCTTATGCGCCGCCGCTGGAATCTCGGCCTGGGTTTGGTGTGTCTCTTGCTATTAAGGATGCGAACCATGCATTTGCCATGGCGAAGGAACATAATGTTGAGCTTCCCGGTCTGAAGGTCGCGCATGAGAACATGGTGGCTGCGAGGGAGTATGCTGGTGAGTGTCTGGATAGCAGTTCAATGTACGGCGTTCTGCGCCAGAAGGCAGGAATGGCTTTCTGGAATGAGAAGAGTCGCAAGGAGTAAAGTTGGAATTGACCATAGGAGGAATGGATTCATTAATCCATTTGGACTTTAGATTAATGTTGAGCGCCACTTGAATATGGGAAATAGTTCCCTGGTTTCCATTACTACGAGGTGCAATGGAGGCGAGACAAGGCGGGGTTCAAATAAAACACAGTTCCATTTGGATTTGACTATCTATACCTTCAAAGTCTAGCTACTACTGCAACAGTCTCTAGTATATGATTCTAATTCTAGATCTACATCGGATGTTTCCGACAAATCAGGAGGATTCTAAACCTGATCTTTCAGAACATGAAGCGGATGAGGCTGTCGTGTTCAGAAGTTCTATTGCTACGATGCTATATCCCAAGTGTCAGTATGTATACCATTCCTCCATACACTGTATGTCCAGCATAACTCGGAAAACTTCTACCGTTTTTCAGGCAGTTGTGTGGCAAGTATCCGAGTGGCATGCCAAACATGGCAAAGGAGGAAAGAGTTAGGGACAAGAATCACCAAAAAAAAAAAAAAAACCCAAACACCGGAACGAAGGACAAAAGACAGGGAGATGCCTAGAGAATGTATGGAGGATGCTCTCAAAAATGGATCCCCCGCCTGAGCCTCGTGACCAAAGTTGGTCGAACATATATATAACGAAATTCCACCCGATTGTCTGTCTATACGGGGGCTGCCTAGTGAAAATCGACCCACGGTGAAGATACGGCTATGGGTGGTTCTTAATTCTGGCTGTCTCAGCTAAGGACGGATACGCTTCCGCAAATGCACGCCCGAGACTCCAATTGTTGAGGTTGCGTAGGTGCCTTTCAAAGACGGGGTTGATGATCAATTCATCGTTATCTCCCGTCGACAAAAGACAATCAGTTTCCTCATATGGCCAGTTGACTGACAGTGTACGCGTAAATGGTATAAACCAATTGTCAAAAGGGTAGTCCTGGTGTGCCATCACGACACGATCGCGCATCCGCGGCCACGGCAAGTAATCAATCCAGGCGGGGTGTGGCGTTAAAAGTTGTGATGGGCGCGGAGTCAGCCATTCCGGTAGCCGATCATAATTTTCAGGTGTTGGGTAGATCTGCCATCGCATGAGAAGGAACATGACATATAAGACAGCTACTTGCTCCGGAAGGGAAGAAATATCCGGAAAAGTGCGCAGGATATCCGTGAACACCTTTGACAACGGATGTGAGAAAGCACCTCTTTCTGGATTGAGCAGGGAGGAGACACTGGGATAAGGAGGCCCCACTAGCTTCTGCTGGGGGACACCCGAGGCAGCTTCGCGCTGTCGATGGTGGAGAAAGTCCAACAGAATGGCATCAAGTGTGCAGGTCGGTGCAATGTTTCGGATTGGCGTCATGTAGGCGGGCAGAGACTGCTCCGCCATGGATCCGTGGATCGGCGATGGGTAGGCCGGAGGAGCGTTCATTGGGGCCGCTCGGAAGTTCCCCGGCGAACGACGGAAGCCCTCCACTTTCGGAACTTGTTGGGATGCATCAAGTAGAAAGTTAAAGGCCATCCGTTCATCGCTCCCAAAATCCAACCCATGCGTCAGGTTATGCCGCTGATAGTCAAATGCAATGCGAAATGAAGCCGACGTCCCATTTGTAGCGCTTTCGCGCCGGATGGTGCCTAACAAGGGCGCCGAGTGTGTGGATGAAGGCGTTTCAATTCTCGCGGAAGCTTCGGAATAGGAATGGTCGACATTGGTTGGCCCGGTGTCACTAAAGTAACTGGTTTTTGCAAACGGCGGTGCTGTAGACAAAGGGGGGGCCGAATGCGTGCCCGAGGGAGCGGCTGCAGAGGCGGGAGGATCTGGAAGCGCCTATTTAGCTCTAATGATCCCTGAGAATATGGTGGGTAGTTTACTGCACCAGTGGCCAGACTTACTAGCACTAGACGTTTCGTGCTTCCCGACTAAAGGCTGAATGACATCCATGATCGCCTTCAACGCCTGTTTGATGTCGCGGTTCTCGGCTTGAATAGCTTCATTCTGCTTCAGCGCCGCCTGAAGATCCAAAAATGGCTTCTGAGAAGACAGCTCGCGGACGCGGTGTTCCAGCGAATCTATATGAGCTTTGGTCCTCTCGCGAATTGCCCGTTGAGCCTGCCGGTCGTTGGCTCGTTTCTTCGCCAGCTGCTCGGGAGTGAGATTGGCTACACCTCTTGCGGAACTACTATTCAACTTGCGTTTCCGCCCCGCAGGCCCGCCAGTGTCGGGCACCGGTGTTTCTGCATCTGCATCCGCGGACGTCACTGCGGATGGCGTAGGCGAGTCTTCCAGTTTCACATATTCCGAGTCCAAGTTGACGGTGTCGGTCGCGGCTGGAGTCTCACGGGTTCCCGAGGAAGTAGAGTTGAGGGCCGCGGAAGGGGCCACATCATTCAGAGGAGGCAGGCGATTGGCCATGACCTCCTTCTCACGTGGTTATCGAAACGTAACGGCCATTCAAGACGGCCAGGGAGATAGAGAGAGGAGTATCCAGGATAGTACCTGGGATCATCAAACGCTCAGACAGATCAGCATCGATGTCGGCAACGAAAAGAAATGATGTGGTGTGAGAGAAGAAGAACGATACTTTTTCAGCCGACGACGTTTCGGGGCATGACTACGAACGAGTCTGGAACAAGTGGAGTCCCGCTGAACTCTATCGTTCGAATCCTTGTCGATGCCACCTCAAGAATGCCGGCAGGATTCTCGAGACAAATTAATTGTCGTAATTGATTTGATCTCTCCCACTGAGTGCCGGCAGTGGCGTTCCCGATCAACCGTCCGATGGGAAAATCAAAATCAAAACAACGACGACGCTTCGGTTACAAACCAACAGCCCGAACAGACGAACGGTATATCGGGAGTAGTACATCCAAGTGTACCCGGAACATTCACATGACACTGTGCCTGCTTGGTCCCCTCTACGTTTACGATCCCAAAATGTATTAACGTTGTATATGGCAGGGTCCATATCATTCCTGAAGTCAAAGCTCGAACGGTCACTCCCAAACCCCGGTAACGCATCACAGACAATGCCCAATCTAGTAATATCTCATCATGCTCAAGACGTAGTCCGACGTAACACTAGGTAAAATGATCGTATAGAGAATAGGAAATAGGAGAGATATACAGCACCGTAGATACGACAAGCAATCCCAAAAGAGCCTTTTATACAGCAAAGCGGCAGCAAAAGCATCGAAGTAACAGCACCTCCACGGAAAACTCATGCGAAAAATCATGTAAAGCATGAAAGCAAGAAGAAATGGCGAACTGGATCTTTTATTGGAGCATATGGCCCATCTTCGAAATCTGTTATATTGTTTGCCATGTTAGTATTCCTCGCATCGGGATCAATGGAGAGAAAACCGACCTTTGTCCGTAAGTAACCTTCGACTTCAGAACTCGTAATTCCCATCTTCCCGCCCGTTCGCCAGGCCAAGGGCACCATCGGTACTCTTTCCTTCACAACAACTTCCCGATTCGGTCCCTCGACCGCCCGGATCTTGTCAGGGTTGTTTGTAAGTAGGCGGATTCCATATGGGTTGGAATCAACACCGAGACCGAGATCCGCCAACATCGCTGTGGCAAGACCGTAGCTTCTGGCATCCGCAGGATGTCGAAGGAGCAAATTGGCTTCGACGGTATCTGATCCAAGGTCTTGAAGATTATACGCTTTAAGCTTTTCTCCTAGGCCGATCCCGCGGCCTTCTTGGCGGAGGTAAATGATCACGCCGCCAGATGCATTCGAAGGCACCGATAATTCTTGCTGGGACGCCACCTCATTTAAAGTTTCCATTGGGAGAGACATCAAGCGTGCCGCCTCGTCGAGCTGTTCACCACAATCACAACGCGCGGACCATGCCGTTTCGCCGGTGTAACATTCCGAATGGATCCTAACCAGCGGCGCTTGGTTTGTGTTACTCTGCGCTAACTCTGGTGTCTGTGACGTGCCAGGGTGACTTGGGGTACTCCGCCCTTGTCCACTAGAAGTGCTCTCGGTATTTGCGGCACTATCATGCCAACTGCTCACTCGGCCGGGACGGAGGGTACCGATATATGCCCCACGGATCATTCGGTCCATTTCTGTTTCCCCCGGGCGAACTGCGTCCAAACTTCGGGATCGGATACTGTTTCCGAACACAATCGCTAGATGCTCTTTGTTGTCTAAGTCATTGTGGTAGAGGTGAAGGAACATCTCGGCCCCATTGGTGGTCGGGATCCGTGCGCGAACAATACACTCGACATTTGGAAGGCAGGAAAGGAGCTTAGGGGGTTTGGTGTGTGTGGGTTGTTGAGTCTGCTGAAGTAATTGCGCGTGGTTTATCGTACCACCTGGTGTCGCTGGGGGGGGTGAAGGAAGGGGAGAGAAGAGACGCGGGCACTGCGGGGGTGATATCACCTCGGGTGTGCTCTGTGGCGTCAGGTTGATTTGTGGCATCACCACGGAGCTCGCCTATTCTGCTGTTCAATGATGGTGGAGCGACGGAAGTAGAGTCCAGAGGTATATCATCGATAACTTGATGAGAGGAAGAGTCCTGCGTCGTGAATGTCGGCGAGGCATGAGATGGTAAGTTCGACATGGCGGAAACGAGCAATGCGATTGCGAAATCAGGGTGAGAAGAACAGTGACTAAGCGACCATATACATATGATGGGAATGGATTCAATAGATAACAGAACACGGTCAATGGTTAATCCAACGTTCCAACAGACGCATGCTCCAGAAGGTCAGTCAATTGTACAGAGTATGATAACATTGCCATGCATATATCTCCCTCGGATCCGCGGGAATGACACAGCACTTGGCGGCGCAATGGGGCGGGGGTTGTTCGGCATGGCTGACTCAGGTTTTCCATTAGTCAGGCCTTACGGCTCGCATTAGTCAGGTGCCCGTCCAGATTCCAGACTCTCACATCCAATGATATGATGTTAGAAACCCCCCATGTTTCCTTGCCTCAAAAAGTTTCTATATCGAAAAAGTTTTCTTTTACCAAAAATTTCCCAATTGTTACTTGATTCTATTGCTTCCCCGGTTTCAATGACTTCGGAGATTTCTTATCCCACACCTCGCAAACAACTCAATTGACGATCGCATTTGATCGCGGAAATCCCATCTTATCGCGGTTAGAACATAGACCGAACTTTATCAGCCGAATGCTCTATTCGCTTCTACACCGTATACCCTTATTACCTAACAGATTGCCATCTCCTGAAGAATTTCCATTAAAATCAAGACATCCCGCCTTAAGATCGGCGTCCTACTGGAAACACAGTTCCCCCCCACCGGACCTATTTCGCAATAGTATCTGAATGATGATCTACTTGGCTTCGCCGACCTAAGAGGGATCAAGCTTTTCACTGGCCATTTGATGCATAGAATGCCTGAGCTTAGCAAATTAGTCCAAGTTGGTCAAGACCATCAATTCCTTGGTACTAGTAGCACTATCCTAAGCTGGCCAAATTAACCATCAATTGCGAGGACGCTTCTATTCCATCCAAGACTCCTTCCTTGAAATTGTATCAATTTAGTTCAAAGGGTATCATCATAATCACCGAGTACTCAGGATTCCAATATGCAGTATTTGTTGTCGTGATCGCTCTTTTTTCTTTTCTTTTTTTTTTCTCTCTCTTCTTGTTTGTGTAGCCGGTATTTCTCTGTTTCCTTTACTTCCCGGGAATGTCCAGGACAAACCTACGGTCCACTTCCATCTCCTTGTCATCTTCCTCGCCTTCAAATTTGAGGCGGTAGGTGTCCTTTCTGGAGCCCATCACTTCTGCCCGGTAAAACGTCGTAGTATCCGGGTATCGAGCCAGAACTTGTTTTCCTACCGAAAAACTTGGTAGTGTCGAGCCAACTTGTGGTATTGGGATCAACGACGCAGCGGTAGTTTTGTAAACCGCTCCCTGTTCGCCATTTTCATTCGGCTCAGGATCCTGTACATCATACCTTGAAAGGATGATCGGTCAGTTCAGAGGTAAGGACGCCCGGGGTCGTCATGCCATACCGCTTCTTATGTCCATCTCCAGATATCCCTTTGATGATGCACTGGATCCCCTCACCTTCGACCCCTTGCTTGTTCTTGTTATGTTTGAAGACTACTTCGGCCCCAACCACTAAATGTCCGTTGCGCTCTGCGAGTGTACCCTTGGTGCCTTCCGTCCCTTCCTCCACTTTGACGTGGACATCTCGGCTGTCACGGCTGTCACGAGCCTGATTGCTGGATACACTGGAGCCACGTTGGATGCCTCCCTTGATACGACCAGCTTTGTCCGGCAGGGAGGCGCCTGACGGCCCCGGCGAGTCCGTAGCGGACCCATCCACGTCATTTCTCTTTTTACGAGATTTCCCAAGAGCAGCCGCACGGTTAAGTGGTGCCTCTGCTTCAGATGCCTGACGAAGTGCAGTCAGAAGGCCCAAGTTCTTGATCACATCGCTCGGCTCATCTTGAAGAATGGCCCTCTCATCTTCGCAAAGTTTAAGCATTTGCCGGTATAGACTGTCTAGCTGGTTATGCTCATGTAGACTTGGTTCTGCGGATGATAATTAGCATGTGCTAGCTACTGAATATGGTCCAGCAAGCCCATCCGGCAATAAACTGGTAAATAGCGGAATAGACTGAGGCAGTTCATGCTGCCATGATTTTTGAGAGCAGGACATCACCTGAACGCCACGGTCATGATAGCGGAGACCCAGACATACTCTTTTTCTCCAAGAAAGAAAGAAAAGAAAAAAGAAATAAAAATCAGGGATAACAAAGGAAGGTACTTACTCCCACCATCTTTGCCAATCTTCTCATTCAAGGCAGATATCTGCTCGGCTAATGACTTCTGCTTATCGTTCTTCTCCTTTGCCTTTCGTAAATCCTGTAGGATCTTGTTCCACATATCAGTTTCCTCATTGGCCGCCAGACCATTGTCTCTAGGCAGCGGAGGGCCCCTAGGACGATTCCGTGACATCTTGGATGGAGGTGTACTGGGACGTGCAACAGCAATTGGGCGTTGTTGCGGACCTTTACTGTTTCCGGACGAGGTCGCAAGCTCCCCGGTTCTAGCTTTCTCAATGGTCAAGGCTTCCCAGGAGAAAGCGGAGACAATCTCTTTGCGACGTGCACTTCGCGTGCCACGAGCCGCACCCTGCCGGAGGTCGTGCGGGCGACTAAAGGAGCTCAGAGGCGAGCTTGGAGTCTCTTCAGGAGGGTGCTCGCCTGGCTCGAGCTGGCGCGGAGACGATAATGGTTCCCCGACCTGGCGGCTATCCCTGGCGGAGTTCCCATCGCGGTTAAGCGGTAAGCGCTTTGCTGGCCAATGCACGCCGTCATTGGTGGCTCCCATTTTAGTCACGGGAACGCTTCCGGTCATCCTAATCAGGTATAATTAGTTATTATGGAGGGGCTACACTTGAAGGGAAAGTGGGTTGACTTCTTGTCAGAACGGGACGTGGAGAGGTAGGGGAAACTTTTAAAACAGAGAGAAAAGACTTACGGACTCAATTTGTGCCCCCCGATTCTCTATTCTCTTTCTCTTTCCAACACCTTTAAGTGAATCATCAGACCCTTGGGAGTGCTCTTGCCTAATCTCTTCTTGTGTTTACTTTTTGACCTTCATTCACTCCAAACCCTTCCTCTTACGTCACGCTCTACAAAATGCAGGTGCCTTTGCTTCGACTCCAATGTGGTATGATCTCTTGTCATTTGCCTGGTCGATAACCGTCTTCTAATGAATACTAATCACGGTGCACTCGGACAGGTGTCAACAGTTATGATTGGGGTACATACAACTCCACGACTTCCTGAATCTATAAGTTGCTGAGTATTGTCTTAGGCAAGATTGGCCAGGAGTCGGCAGCTGCCCGCTATGCAGCTACAACAGCTGCGCCGGACTTCTCCATAGAATCAGAGAAACCCTATGCAGAGGTCAGTTCGAGACTACTGACCTATCACGAGCAATCGCTTATTTCCCATTAATAGTTATGGATGGGCACGCATCCTTCCCTCCCTTCGAAAGACGTCGAGACTCAGCGAACCCTGCTCGACATGGTCCAGGACAACCAAGCTTTGTTATCCAAGCAGGTTAGCGAGAAATACGGTGGAAAGCTGCCATTCCTCTTCAAGGTGCTTTCCGTCAACAAAGCCCTCAGTATCCAAGCACACCCGAACAAGAAGCTCGCAGAGAAGCTCCATGCTAGAGATCCTCGCAACTATCCAGGTAAATAGTAAAGCCCAAGCATAGGGATATTCTGTTGTACTCTATATTTTCTAACGTAGTCTTTGCAGATGACAACCACAAGCCCGAGATGACCATCGCAATTACCCCGTTCGAAGGGCTCTGTGGTTTCCGGCCCTTGGCGGAGATTTCCCATTTTCTCAATGCCGTGGCACCCCTCCGTCAGTTGATTGGATCAGATACAGTCGACCAATTTCTGGGCGTAGTCAAGGGGTCCGAGGGTTCGGAGGATCCCACTATTGTACAGAAAAACAAGGACGCTTTGCGGGCCGTGTTCACGGCGCTGATGAACTCATCATCCGAGAACATCGAGGCAGCTACCAAGGAGCTTACTGCTGCGGCCCAAAACTCCCCCGAAACATTCGGCACATCTGCTAGCACCCCAGAGACGAACCCCAGCAACCCAGCGGAGCTGGCTGCTGTTATCACACGTCTCAATGGACAGTTCCCTAACGATATCGGCCTGTTTGTGTTCTTCTTCCTCAATTTCGTCAAGCTTGCACCGGGAGAGGCCATGTTCTTGAAGGCTGACGACATTCATGCCTACGTGTCCGGCGACATCATCGAGTGCATGGCGTCGTCCGACAACGTCGTGCGGGCTGGCTTCACGCCCAAGTTCAAGGACGTGGATACCCTGACCGAAATGCTGACATACTCCTATGCTCCAATTGAAGAACAGAAGCTCGAACCCAAGGAATACCCGTACACGATTCTGAATGCCTCCGCATATTCCAGCGCATCGTCGTCCTTGCTCTATGACCCTCCAATTGAGGAGTTCAGTGTGGTGAAGACCGATCTCAAGCGAACTGGAGCCAAGGCTACTTTCGATGGGCTGGGCGGGCCTAGCATTTTGATCTGTACCCGAGGCACCGGAAAGATTACCGTCGGCCATAAGACAGAGGAAGTCAAGGAGGGCTATGTTTTCTTTGTCGGTGCCGATGCGGAGTGTATCATTGAGAACACTGGCTCTGGGTCTGACGAGGACAATGTGTTCACGACCTTCAAGGCTTTCTGTGATTTGACTGGTAAGGAAGACATGGTGAACGGCCACTAAACTATTTACTTATCAGTAACGAATGGATGTAAAAATAGCTACAGCAATATGACTTATAATACTTGCCCTTGAATCCGCTATCTTGCCGTGAACCAAACAAACGAAATAAACCTGTATATACTCGGCCCGTAGCAGCCGAGGTAAAAAGAAGCTAGGTTAACATGACATCCACACCTTCCATGATCTACTTCAGCTGCGGGGAACTACTACTAGGTTCTTCAGACAATAATAGTTTAATCTTTCAGCTCCGGCATTTCACTCCCCTCTTAAATTTCTTCCTTCACCACAACCATTCGATTAAAATCCCCTTTCTCCCCCCTCCATTAACACACCCCACGTATCAAGCTCGATACCCTACTACCATAATGACCTCCACCTCGCTCTCCCTGTGGGGGAGAGTGGACCTCGTAAATGCTCAATTGACCGTTTTAGGCACAGCTCTCTACAACGCCATAACAGGCATCTTCCGAGGCCAAAGCGGCGCATCAGGATACGGGCTCCACGTCGGCAACGCAGCGTTGAGAAAACTGTGCGATAGACTGAGCGCAGAACAGTTCCAGTACATAATCCCTAATTTGGAAAAATCATACCTCGATCGTGGACTAACACACGATATAAAAGATACATGAACGGTTCCACAAGGTCCGTCTACGAGACATCCCTGCAGAAAAAGGGACTCCAGCCCGAGACCGTCCCTCTCAAACACGGTGCACAAGGCCACTGGATCGGAAACAAGAATGCCAAAAATGTGGTCATCTATTACCATGGTATAGTTATTACGTTCTACTATCGTCTGTACCTTTGTATATTGTGCCGCAATAATAGCATGTCTAAGCATAGTGCACTATATACTCTATATGTTCTGCTACACAGAAGAAGATATCGGGGTTTGTGGTATTGAAGGAAGTGGTACACTGCTAACACACCCCAACCAGGCGGCGGATTCGCCGTGCCCGGCGCAGCGGGCCATATCGCCTTCTACAGCCATGTAATCGACACCCTCACCGCAGAAGGCCACGACATAGCCTTCTTCCTGATCACCTACAGCCTCACCCCGCATGCCGTCTACCCGACCCAACTCCGGCAGGCCGTCGAAGCCCTCCGCTACATCCTCACCGAGACGAACCGCGACCCGGCTAACGTGATCGTCGGCGGCGACTCTGCAGGCGGGAATCTAGCCCTAGCCGTCCTCCTGCATCTGTCACACCCGCATCCCGAGATCGAGCCTGTGTGCGACGCAGCGCCTTGGCGGGGTTGTTTGCCTTCGCGCCGTGGGTGAGTTTCGTCCACGAGGGTGCCTCCATGCGGGAGAATCAGTATAAGGATATGATTGGGCCGGAGATTTTGGATCGGTGGTCATGCTTGTATTTGGGTGGGAAGGGGAAGGAAGGCGACGCGTGGAGTGAGCCTGGCCGGGCACCGATTGAATGGTGGAGGGGTGCGAAGGTGAAGGAGGTGTTGATTTTGGCTGGGAAGGATGAAATCCTGTTTGATTCAATTGATACGTTTGTGAAGAAGTTTCAGGTATGTAAATTTTTTTTTGCCAGGTGGAATCTCCTAGCTTCGTGAAGACAGGAGATCTTGATGCTAACGAGTGGGACGCGGTCTAGTCGGTTGTACCGAACACGACATATCTTGTAGGGCATGGGGAGACTCATGTTGCCCCGGTTTACAGCGCTGGTTTTATTGGAAAGGAGACACAGCAGGGGAACGGATTAAAGGAGTGGTTGCGGTCTCATCTCTAGGGCGTTGGCTGAGCAGCCATTATCCTGGTATCTATGTACACTTGAGTATCTAGCCTCATAGACCTGCAGGTCAAATGCGAAAGGGGAACAACCGGAGCGCGTTCACTACACCAAACACGTTGAGTATTAATGTCTATCATGAAATCAGATTTCCACAACTGGGACGATAGCAATGGGAATAAAGGCAAGCGCCGATAATACCTGGCACAATACAATAGCTACGCCGTCGTATAAATCATCAAAGTAACAAAACACCGGATCGAACAAGGCGCATGAAGAAAAGTGAAAATTGAAGGTGAAAGAGAAAAAAGGAGGGGAGGCAAAAGGGATCTAAGACGACACTCTCGGCGCATACTTCGCGGCAGCGGTATCGAAGAACGCACTCTTCTCTTGAATATCAGTCAACAGAGCATGCGATGACTGCACGTTCTGTAGACGCCTGTGCCCAAAGATATAACCGTTAGCAAGGTTCAAGGCATTGCAACAAAAACCAAAGTGAAATGTGATACATACGCTTCGAGCTCGTCGGTCGGCTTTCCGGCCAAAACGTTTAGCACAATGCTGTTGGCAATGAGCTCCGCATCCTCGGGGTACTTTTCCAGAGCTGTCGTCAACGCAGCTTCAGCCTCTGGCAACCGGCCGAGGTGGATTTCAGCCACGGCCTGACCGACGATCGAGAGCGGGGCAGATGTGCTGGGGGCAGCGGCGAGTTCTTCGTAGACGTAGAAAGCAGATTGGTACTTTTCGCCGCCCTAGGAATAAACAAATCCACTCGGTCAGTTAATCATTTCTTAAACAAAAGCAACATCAATGTAATCGTAGCACATACAACCCTCAAACCAACCCACGACTCGGCCACATTAACAAGCAGGGAATCCTGAGCCCACCGCTTGGCAGTCTGCACCTCCTTTAGGGCGAGATCGGAGCGATTCTGCTGAAGATGGATCTGAACGATCAATGCAACGCTATACATATCCCAGTAAGCCACGGCCCAGCATTCTCCTCCAACCGGAGAGCAAAGCGACTTCAGACATACGCTTCCAGATTGCCTTGATGCTTCGCCAATAAAGCCAGAGCCTCCTCGCTTAACCCCTGCGCCTGCAGCACTGTTCCACCCAAAACCTGCACGGTAGTGTTATCAGGATAGTTCTCCGCCAGGTCCTGTGCGAGCTTCAGGGCGGACTCGCTGTCGCCGGACGTTTGCTGCGCCAATGCCTTCGCTGCCGCAAGGTCGGGGGTGTCTTCTTCGCCGTCAACATCGGAGAGAACCTGGTCGGTCTGTCCCAGGGCAATTTTGGCGCGGAGCTGTAGAACGCGAGCAGGGAGGTGATTTTCAGAGGATAGGGCTGATGTATCGAAGTCGATCACCTCCTGGTATTGGCCTTGATGGAAGGCATTGTGGATGTTGATGAGTTCTGTGGAGAGAGGAGTATGAGTTGGAAGGCACTACACTCAACTTTAGGGTGTCAAATCACGAAATACTTACCACCTTCTGCCGAGAATGGATCCATGGTATAGTACAATTGCGAAAAGAATTGCCAATTGTCTGTATTTACTGTGTGCTGTATACAGCATATGGTTGATGGCACGGAAGGCGGAGGCCGAAAGTCGTCACGTTGCCTTTCCCAGGGCGGTGACGGTATTGAATCAGTCAATCAACTTATCATTAAATTTACCGCCACGCACCTCGCCCTACGCACTACTTAAATGCCTCCCAAGATGGTAAATACCAATTTGCCCCTATGGACAGACAACAGGAAGGCCTACCTTACAAGGGAAAGGAAAAAGACTAAAGATTGCTATACCTGCACAATGGCCTGGAATCGAATGAGCGTCCCAGCGCACGGTTAATATTAAGACAAGAATATGAAACGTAAAGATAGACATGACCTCGCCTCATGTCGGAGATTCATCTAGAACCCTCGGGGCAATGGAAAAGGATTGAGCGAGCAAGTGCATCGCTCCATAAAAAGCGTTGACTTCAATCCACGCTCTTGTACACGTAGTAATTCCCCCGCCAATTGTGACCAATGATGCAACCATTCCCTGGTGACTCCTTGAATGCTGCCATCCTATCCGATGATGATAACGCGTGAAATGCCACCCTAACCCCGGACCCTGAAGACAAATAAATGAAGAACTATGATGGGCAAGATTCGCTGCAAACAAAAGAAAAGAAAAAACAACATGAGAAGTAGAATAAGTGCACAACCATGCAACACACAACAGAAGAGCACAAGTAGAGGGTATCGCTAGATAGAACAGAAGTAATCCAATCGCAAATGGAACTGAAGAAAAAGACAAAGGAAGAAAAGATCAAGGAGCGCCCGTACCTCACTCGCAATGCAACCATACATCGCCCTTTAATAACACAGAGTAGAGACAAACAAGTAGCTGACGGTTTCTCCGTTAGGCCCTCCAGTGACCTCAGCAACCGTACTGCGCCAAAGTCCCCGAAAGTAATAGCCAAAGGAAAAGTCCGGAAAAGGACACAATAGATGCAATGAAAGTTTAAAGAACGCCGCTCCGTTTATTTGCACATGTTTGACATTAACGAAACCAGAGATGAAGAGTCGCATGGAAGAAGTGGAAATGGAAAAGTGAGATTGGCATCCTGGTAGCACGCCACAGCGGAAAACGCTTTTTACAAGGCTTCAAGGAGGCAACGATGAAGTGGATGCTGCAGAAACCGTCGGTGTCAGATCTGGAGAACTGTCCTTATCCTCTGCGCTTGTTGCCATGTCATTGCCCTTCTCACGCTCCGTAGACGACGTGCGTTTGAAGACGGTCTGGCCGATCTGTCGAAGAATACCCATCCGCTCGGCTCTCAATTCTTCTGCATCAAGCCGCTGAACAGACATCGGGTCTTCTTTTGTGATCTTGCAGAATAGGGTTGAGAACAGATATTGGTCTCCGCCACCATCATACAGGGGCAAGTAGCGGTATCCTTGGGATAAGCTGCTAAGCTTCGCGGTGAACGTGGCAAGTTGGACACTGCTATTGCTTCCTGCACTGCGCCCATCCTGTGAGCTCCAGATAGTCCAGCGAACGAATACCAAATCAGGATATTTAGTCTCCAGCGATAACCTAAAGCGATCATTGAAGATTGGACTATACCCATTGCTTTGCTCGATCTTCGTGCGCCGACGGTGCGGAAATCCGATGCCCGACATGCCATTGCGGGCGGATGCGTTCATACCACCCTCGCCATACACGAAGCTCTGACCACGATCGTCTGCGCTAAACATTTCAATCTCCACGTAAGGATTGATGTTATCATCGGGGCCAATACTACGAGGGCGGGGAAGTTGTTGGGCAGAGATAACGTCCACTGAAAATCGAACAAGCTTCCACTCTGTGGTCTTCGTTTTCTCTTCGTCGACCGGGCACAAGGCGCGAAGAGACTCTGGTTTTAGCACGTAACCAGTTCGATCGCTCCCAGCAGCAAACATGGCCTGGTTCATCTGCATGCCAATGTCGTATGTTTGCCAGTTCAAGGCCGCCATCTGAACGCCGCGTCGCCAAAATTTGAGGGGGTCGAAGTTCGAAGATCTCAAGCGGAAGCCGGATGGGTAGACTCGAGTCAAATATTTTTGGTTGTGCTTCTCAAAAAGAGCCTTGTTTTCTGTATCACGACATATACCCTCGAATGATCGTTCGGCGAAGGAGTAGACATGATTATATCGTTGACTTTCAGCGGACGAGAAGCTGTGCCACTTGTACCCTCGGGTATAGACACCTAGATCCGACAAGGGTTTGGTGATTTTGCTCTTCTGACGTCTCTTCTTTTCTTTCCTGATGGTCGCCAATGCGCCATCACTCTCCTCCGTCGCACTGCTGATGCTAGTGGTTGTAAACGAGCGTCTGTCTTGGGTCAAGAATGAGCCAGCGGTTTCCAGTCCAAGCGTTGGAGGGCTCGACAAAGGGGGCAGACTGGTTATTGCTGAGCTCTCAGATGCCGTCGGACGTATGAATGGAGAGCTCGCGCTGCGTTTACGGCCGTGAACGGCGAATGTGCCCATGGGTTCCTGCCTTACGCCTTCTTGGAGCTCGTCGCAGGTCTTTACCTTAACAAGAATGCGTCCCTTCAGCTCTTCGGGTGACGGAAGGACAAAACTGTTTGTTAACAGTGGCTCCAGGACGAGCTGATCTTTGAAGGTATCCTTCATGATTTTGACCATTGCCAGTTGCTGCTCCGGGTTACAATGTACCTCAAGAGACAGGATGAGAGGAAAATCGGTAGTGATGAATGCATAGCGATTAATGACCGTAATACAGTCAGCAAACAGAACGCTCGTGGTCATGGTTCTTCCATGGGACACAATCGGTCGGCCATCGGCCCCATCCCAACAGTCGATCTCTACACAACGGCATCCTTTTTGCAAAGCGCTTATATATGCCTCTGTGCTGGACGCCCCGGCAACCTGGCGGCCTAAAAGATAAGTATTGTGGGAACTTGAGATGAAGTATTCGTTCAAGGGGCGGTCAAATCGCGACTGAGGAGCACGAGAGGCGTATAATCCGTTCCACGGAGACGCAAGGAAAGCGGAAAATGTATCAAAATCCATTCGAGGCACTTGTTCCTCCTCAAACTCCGGGATACTTGGGACCCGCGATTTAGACTTGCGTACACATTTGTCAAAAACCGAGACCCAATAACTTCGATCTGAGTCAACGTCCTCATTTTGTACGCTTCGGAGGAATGTCAAGAATTCATCGACGCTTAGGCCAGCTTTGGCGTCCATGGCGCTATCCTTGAAGATCTCCTTGATGTCTTTCCGCTCTTTCAAGCGAGCAACAAAATTCTGGAACTGCGAAAAGTTCAACTTGCCGTTGACATCGGAATCAGCTTTGGAGAATTGCGCGCGAAGCATGTTCTTGGAGCAATTGATATGTAAACTGCGACAAATGCCCTCCACGGCCACAAAATCAAGACTACCTTGTTCAGCCGACCTAGGTCCGTGAGGGAACAATCTCGACATCTCGCGCTGCCAATGCGCCTTCAGGACTGCCTCACTCTGGCCGGAACCAGCCAGGCCAGCCATAAGGCCTATCCTATATCGGGAGATATGTTCTAGAGTCGTGGTCCAAAGCTCGAGTATATAATCGTTAGGGGCAATAAGGTGCAGCATTTTGACAGCCCGACCTTTTGACCGCTCGTCATCGGCAATAATGATTGTGAACCAGCGATTTTCGGTGTCTTGTGGAACCTGGTGCTCCTCGCGGTAATTCCGCGCGTCCACGCCAACTCGAATTTCCTTGATATCGTCAATGTAGAAGCGCTTAGTCGGATTAGAAACGTCCCAGGAGACCTTGCCCGCATCTAGGTCTAGTACGAAACGAACTTGTTTTCTTCGCTTCTTTGTAACTTTCGTCAAGACAGTCCCACGCTGAATCGTCGAATCAATCTTCGGCGCGATTGTGCCGGTGTGGCGGGAGGCTGCCATAAAACTGTCATTTGGTAAGCTAGATGACTCTGAACCGCACCAAACCCCGAGGGAATCAAGAGCATCATTGCTGTCTTCCTCGTTACTAGATTCAAGTGCATTGTCGCGGCCGTTCTGAGATCCGGTCTTGCTATCACTGCGCCTCCGCATAGTCACAGGGCCAGAGCTGCGGTCGCGCTTTTCGTTGTGGGAAGCAGATTGGCGTCTTCGGGTAAGCTTATTTGCGGCACCACGGGAAATTCTGCGCATCAAGCCCGGGCCTTTGGAATTCGAGTTGACTGCATCCCCCGATCCAGAAGCAGGAGCGTTCCCTGGGACGGCCATCATGGACTCCCCAAGCTCGAACGTAGTAGGAGGGATAGCAGGGAAGGGAGGTATACGTCCTCGGAAACCGTCGGTAGCAATCTGTAAAGGTGTGCCTGAAGGGCTTGACGCATTTGAAGGAAAATAGGTGGGACGTAAAGAATTGGGAGTGGTGGTGAGAGAAGAGGCGTACGATGGTGCTGACGAAGGATTGGGGGCAGGAGGAATAGATGTGATGACATGATGTAGCTTTGGGGGGTTGGAGGATGAAGTAGTGAGTTTTAAGCTAGAGCGGGCATCGCCATTGATGGTCGAAGCCGATGAGGTAGCGGCGTAGGCCATCGCGGGTACCTACAAGAACACACCACTCAGCTGCAGATCGTGAGACTGTCAACCTGTCGTGAACCGTGCCAATGCCTGAGTCACCTGGACTTCGCAAAGGACGAATGAGCAGTACAGCAGTAAGAAAGCGGTCGTGTTGGTTCAGAGATGGCGGCCTATGGTTGTAATGCAATACGAACCGAATTAGGGAACGTGTCTGGCTGAGTGATGCAAAAGCCACGTCCTTAGCGGAATATGTTATGATTTTGATATCTGCATCTTGGCCAGCCTTTAATGCAATGCGGAGAGCCCTTCCTGAGAGCACTCGCGAGGAATGAAGGAGGGGCGGGAGGGAAAGGAACTCAGGTCCCTGATAACAATTGAGACGAACAGTGGCCTTGTGTAACGGGTGGCTCCACGGGGCAACAATCGGTAACGCTACCGTCGTCTATCAGGTTGTTGATCGATGACTTGGCTCCCTGCTTATGGACCCGATTTTCGTCACGTTCCTTTTAGAGCTTTCTGCCCCTTTCGGCGGTTTTCTTTCTTTATTTTTAAACCGGTATTCCCAATAGAAAACCTGCTTTGTACCCCTCTTGAATCGTCGATCCCTCCAATGCGCGGGGAAAGCTGTCCTTCTGCAAGAATAGAAAGGTGTGGAGACGGACCAATTGGCCGTGTCTGGCGACGGGGGTAGCAGTTCCTTTTTTTTCCCTTTTCCTTTTTACTTTTTGAATTTTCCCTGGTGTTGGCAGGGAAGATAGATAGCGGCCCACCGATGAAAAAGAACTAATAGAAACGAATCATGCAAGACAAAAGTAGCCTGTGCCGCGCATGTGCTTAGTTGTCAGCAGAGCCCCTCCGCTTTGAGTAATTGAGCAAAGAAATTCAGTTTTCGCGTCAGTTGGCGTGGTTCTAAAAGTAATTTGGGAAGGTGCAGCACGGGAAATGTAGAATCGGCGACGAGGATCCGAGCTGCAATGCAGGATTGCCTGCCAGCACAGTGATGCAGGCGGTCCAAAGAGGAAGAAGGAGGATGCTAGGGGAGCAATCAGAGATTGGACGGAGCTCAGTAGTCGCAAAGGTTGCGATGCTCTAGTGCGCTTCGACGTCTCGCCGTTTCAGGTAATACTGCACGGTTACGTGGAGGGTCGTAGAGGACCTGCAGCGACAGAAAAAAAAAGCCGCCAGGATGTAAGTAAGAAACGATGATCATGCGACGAATAGCGAGGAGACTGTGCCAGCAGCGTGCTCCAAGAAATTCGGGTCACTAAATTGCGGAAGGGAGGAAGGCGAAGGACTGTGGACGAGGAAGGTACTGAAAGGTGTTAAAAAGGGATTCGATAGTCCTCTTAAGGATTTTCCATTTGGACGAGTAGTGAAAGTTGAACCAACAGGAAGATTTGGGGAGAAAGAATTGTGGAAGGCTCGATTTGGAAGAAACCACTGGATGTTTCAATTGAAAGAAAGCTGGAGTGGGTACTGCTTACTGACGTACAGAGTACTGTATGTCGTGTGGTACGTATTGCAGTATGGTCACGGTCCACAGTACTCGTACAGACGCGGTAACGGGTAACTGGATCTGTACAGTACCTTGATGTGTATTTCCGCCTATTTTCTTTTCCCTCTTTCTCTCTCCTTTATTATTATTCTTCTCGGCCAACGGGTCCACCGAGAAGTTGAAAACGAGAACGAAAAACCGAACTTGGAAGAGTCCGACAAGGGTTGAAAATTACACCGCTTAGGCTTTTCGGTACCAAACAACGTTGAACAATGTAATGATGATCTAGCCAGCCGATATGGAATGATGATGGCAGTGGCCGTCAGTGGTGATAACAGCGGCGTTCAGGGATAGCCAGAGAAAATAAAATGAAATAAGAGGGGAAACGAATTATCGTATTCAAAGATACTTGCTTCCGTTGATCTTCTATACTCAATAAAGAATAAAAGTCAATGATCATGATGGCAATGACGGATGGCCGGGAGGAGTCTTCGATCTATATACTAAAATGAGGAGGAGCAAGGAAAGGGATGGTAAATTTGGTATGTAGTCTAATCAAACTGGGCCGTTTGTCGCTGGGCAGATTTTCTTGAAACTTCATTGCGGGTGAGCTGTGAACAACGCATAGCAACGGCGGCCCAAGAAAATATTGAAGCTAATCGTAATGCCTTGTGGCAGCTTGTCTACGGAGTATTCTCTCCCTTTTTGGTAGAAGAAAAAATCTTTCTAAATCATATTATCCATTCTTTTCTTGTCTCTTTTTACTTTTGTGCTTCTTTTACCCTTGGGAATACTAAACAAACCGAGTCCCGGAAATCCAGGATCCCCTTGATATTGAGATGAATACGAGTCAAATGACTTTTTAAGATGTATTTTATTCAATGTTCCTCACTTTGACGCTTCTGCCTTGGTACTCTTACTATGCATTCATATGAATGGGATTTATTTGTTTTATTCAACGTATCTGACAAGCACTAAGGTATCAGGGCCCGCGGGAACGTGACCTGTAAACCTGGAGAGAGCATCATTTGGGTACCAGAGCGAACAATGAAATAACTTCCAATGAACAGACCCTGATCTGCTATACCATTGGACGATCATCCCTTGGGGAATAGTACTGTCAATCTTGCCGGTCGGCACACTCCCACTGGCTGTGGGCAGGCCGAGTTTCACCTACTTCTTAGGTATTATCTCGGTGTCCTTCGACAAAAATTCCTTAGGGAGGAAAGGGGGGGTAGGTGGAAAGCCCTAGTGGGTTGAAAAGCGCCTGTGCGACTTACTCGATAGGTTGGCCTTGTGGATACAGGTCATCCCATAGCTGTAACAGATTGCATTGCATGCCCTTTTCGAAAAGAGAATCCCCACAGAAGAAGAACCCGTTCCCCATAGACACGACGGGGTCTGCGTGATACGGAGAACGGAGTAATCCACTGTCATTTCTTTCAACCATTTTTACTACGCTAGAAAGAATTCGAAGCATGCTTCACCAACGATCCACTGCCAACAATAAATGACTATTGTGCCCATCGCGTAGGATTTGATATCTGATGTTACAGAATTTGAGAGCACCAACACTGTGGTCCTTCCGGGGAAGACTTATGTGGATCGCATACGATCATCATCGTCTATCGTCATCTCAATCCCCTTCATTCTTGCAATCTTTAGAGTTTCAGGTCGCGGGCTGTTGAACTAAACTGCCTTATCCCTGTGGATAACCCTGCTTTGCTTCCTCGAAACTGATAAGTGAAGCTGCACGCCATCCCTCCGCACTTTTAGGGCGTTTGTGGTAGGATAGTGACCTACTAGTAGTAGGTCAACAGTCCAGCATGAATAGTTCGGTCCAATAGTGCCATGGCTCAAAAGTTCCGACAGTCGGGGTGCTTGTCACCTGATTCATGCCTTAGTATCAACAGGAGACTGGGTTATCGGCATCCAATCACTGCCTTCTGGTCAAGGATGCATTCGCACTACTACAGAGAATCAATGTGCGATGATGCTGTGAGGTATGGTAGTACCAATAGAATCTTAAGGGGGACAAAGAGGGGGGAGAAGGGCGGGTTTGCCGGAAACAGATAGAAAAAGGAAAAAGGGAAAAAACAGGACGGTTGAAGCCGCTCATCCCTAGTCGACAACGCTGTGGAGTGTTGAGTGGTTCTTTCGTCTACGTAAGGTTCGTAGGTACTGGGATTTACTAGAACGCGGGCGGAAGGGGAATATAGATACAGTAATCCACTGCTACCTAAAACATTACAGAATTGTTTCTAGTTTTAAAATTGAGTCATCGCGAATGTGGACTATCGTGGTGGAAAGGGAAAAAGCATGCTATGACAATGAACGCGGGGGTGGTTTTAACGCTGCCTAGGTAGGAGACAGGTACAGAAATTGTACTCCGTACCAAACGTAATAATACGGTTACCAGCCTTAGTAATGGATTCAATTGCCCGCCCTATGCATTGGTATTGAGGCTAGGGCAAGTGGCAGTGGAATCACGGGCGGGGGCGGTGCGTGAGAAGGGAGGAAAGAAAGAAAGATCGTCACGACAATGGAGCGGTAAGAATGATGAAACGATGAATCTTAAACCGCTAGTCAGCAGATCCTTTGGGGGATTCTCATAGGTAGCAACTTAGCCCCATACTAATCTTGAGACTAGTAATTAGTCAGGTATTTCCTCCCACGGCCGGGTAATACTTTTCCTACTCTTACATACCAGAAGTACAACCAGCAGTTTTTTTGTGGGTTATACCCTACTATTGAGGACTTCTCACTTACAGTCTACTCCGTACTTAGGACATAATGAGGCCTTTAGCGGCCACTAGTATTAATATCACAGCACCTTCTCAGAAGAGCGGTCAGTCAGCCTTTGTTTTGTCCATTGAGTGTAATTCACAGTTCATGGCTTGGGCGATAATGAGAATTGATAGAGCACTTGAACTCGTGGACCTACGTTACATGCTATCCAATCAGTCTTGTTTGAACATACATTTTATTCTTTCTTCTGTCCGCCTCCCTACCCTATGAGATCAGAGAACTTAGTAGTCTAGCATGGTGGTCATCCCATCCACCCATGCCTGTGTGGTTGGACATCAACGATGCTGGCTAACAGGTCATAGATTTCCCGTATTGCTCCCACAGACCACGCCTTGGCGGTAAACCAAAAACAGATAGTACTGCGACCATTTGAATGCACCGTGACTTCCAAATGCAGGAGGCAACCGTAGGACCCTCAAAACAGACGCGAGAGAGAGAGAGAGAAGAAAAAAAAAAAAAAACAAACAAACAAATAAATAAAATACAAATAAACACATTAAAAATGGTTCGTGGGGTGTGAACCCCGCACTACAGCTGAGCCATGTTGCTGAGCTGGCAATGCTTATCTTCCTTGTTCTGCCTGTCATTTGAGTGTTCAGTTCACCACTGGTTATTGATGGGGCATAATGGTCATCAGGAAGTAGCATAATGGAGTTTTGCTTCAGGCAGACCAAAATTGCGCATTTCCCCTCCCTCCGAATCCTATACCAGG